CTTTCTTACATCAGTACCTTCTTAGCTGCATCTTACCTGATGATCAAACTCTTTTCTGAGTTTCTTTGCTTCAGTCTGCCACTGAAACTGCAGTGCTCACAGATGCCTTCTTTTCCCCCTTTTCTTCTTCATTCAGTTGTAAGTCTTATTTCCTGCCACAGCATTCCAATTCATCCTCATTATTCTAGGCTTCCAGTTTTCAATCACCTACCAGTTACTCCTACTTGAACACTGTATGCATTTAGGAAACTCAGCATTACTCAAACTGAACACACCATCAGCTAAGAGCTTATCCTTCTAGACTCCACTGCCTTTCTTATGTTCTCTGTAGTAATAAATGACACAGACTTCATGTAATCCCTACGGAACCATAAATGAATGGTTTTTTTACTTCCTCCATTATGATCTTATCTTAATTCACCAATGATTCCTTTGTAGTTAACTTTCATATTTTCTTTAGACCTTAGATTTCCTCCACTTCTATTCACCTCCTATACTTCTCAATCATCTTCTAGATGTTTGAATCAGACTATGTTACTCTGTTAAGATTTTTCCATCAGTCCTTACTCCTTTTGAAAACAATAACAAGCTCTTGAGTAAGACAGGCAGATAGACACACAGACAGACACACACACACATACACACACATGCGCATTGTGTACTCTGCATAATCTGACTACATCACCAAGTCTTCACCATAGTCCCCAGGATAACACCAGTTTTTAAAAGTTACCAGCTAAATCCCTGATACCATTTCTTTTCTCTTGCCATATTCTCTTCTATTAGTTACTTTCTAGTTTTACTTTCTTCTTGGAACACCTATCCATAGATCTCTCACTCCATTTTGACCTCTCTGTAGCTCATCATTATTGTATATTTCTACATAATGTCCTGTCCTCCTTCAAAGTACTCACAAGTTGACATTGGGATTCACTCTACACTGTCATTTTAAATGGTGCATGTCTTCAAAGCAAGCATTATGCACTATGCTCTTTTTCTCCACATATGCATTATACGTTGTAGGCAGTAATAACAAAATTCTTCATTCAATGTTGGAAACTTAAAATACTGGCAGAAACAACATTATTTGTTTTGATATTATTCATCAACATGATAGAAGTGAACAGGTGAACTATGTAGCAAATAAGCGAACTTGACATACCAAATACTAAATGAGCATTGAAATTAAGAAGTGACAAAAGACTGATAGAAGAGAGGGAACACTAGGCACCCACTTGGCTGTTCAACAAAGGTCTGAAAGACTTAGACTGAGCACATGTAAGAACCTGAGGCAAATTTGAAGAGTAATCCACACTCAAATATAAAGTTACATGAGGTCAGGGGCAGGGTAATCTTCTTTGTCCATCAGGCTTTACACATATCTTGCTTATAGTAACTGCTAAGTAACTAGTTCTTGAATGGAATTTTAAGCTGTGCAGCTGGCCATACAAGAAACATCTGTATATTTTTATAGCATTACTTCTCTTCATTTGCCATTCCATAAAAAGGTAATTTTGTGAATGTGTTTACTAGAACTCTTTCCTGAAAAGTGAAATATTGCTTCAGTTGGTTGGCAAATGTGCCATTTCAAAATGAAGAATCTGCCTCAAATGAAGAAAAAGCTATTTTGGTCTATAATTCTCAGAGCCAAATTTGAATCGTAAAATGCACTTTTCATCAAAGAATCTTAACAAAAAGATTCCTGCCAATTTAACCAAGACATCTAAAAATGTTTCATTCCAAAGCCAAGCATCCTGCTTAGCAGCATTCTGACTGAGATAATATTTTCCAAAGATCTTCTACTGGATGATGGTCACCTAAGTCAAGAGCCTGCCACACTGTCACCACCCTTTTAGAACTAAAAATTACACACGGTTTAGAAATTTGGGTATTCCTTAATGTTTTCTATGTTTTAAAGTTTTCCTGAAACTTTTCTGAATGTAACAGTTTCCCTAACAAACAAGTGTAACTAGAGACATGTGTAACTTAGAGATGGAAGTCAATTAAACATGTCCTTTTTATTTCAACCATGGAGAAACTGCAATCTAATGAGGTTAATGACCATTGCACAGAAACATAGGGCAGTAGCAGGAGTGAATAATGGGAACCTTGATTGCTTGCCTGGTTTTCACTCATCATTAAGTTAAGTGCATCCAATGCCATTTTCCTACTTCTGGTACTTATCTGGGATGGTAGAAAAGAACTATTGTTCTCCTTTGACACATAAGGATAAACTAAGTGGGACTAAGAAATGGAGCTGGCATCTAACACTTTTGAGCCACATCAGGATCTTTCTACCATTGTCATCTGTAAAGCAAAACAAAACAAACAAACAAACAAAAAACAGAACAAAAAACACATCAAGACAGACCTTTATTCCTTCTGTTTTCCTTCTGTTCAAATGAGTGAATGGTCTAGGGAATCTCATTCTTCAAATGCAGATGTACCATAATAAAAGTTACAGCTACTAGATACTAGTTCACAAGCCAAACTGAAGAAGAAATCTGTGTATTAATCAAATTTGTGGTTTCACTTAAATAAATAATCACCCATTCTTTAGATACTAAATATAACTAAAACAGCCCAACACTTGGAGGACTTTATACAATACACAATGAACGTCTTATATTGAGCTACCAACAGGAGTCTAACTCATCTGTTGCTTCCAAGGGAATAGTCATATTTAGAAACAAGGTAATAGCAACATATGCTATAAAAATATCCTTTTGAGGATTAGTTTTAGGTCAATAAGACTGGAAGCTAGAGTAAATATAAGTTTTTCAACAGTTCCAAGTGTGGCTGGACAAATCCATGAGTGTCAGCATTAAGCTAAGAAAGGAATCTGGCTTGGAAATTTTCACACTTGCTTCAAATCATTAATGCTACAATGTTGTCCCATTTACAAGCTGACATTTATTTTTGCACTTTCGACATCCCATGACTTCTCTTGCAACAGTAAATAGCTCAAAGTGATGACACCCTGCCTCAGCTGGATCTATATTTTGACTAGCAGGTCTTGGCATTGTGTCCACCTCTGATACCACTCCAAAATGGTACATGCAGGGGGAAAATGTCAATGAAATGCATGAAGAAAATGCAAGTTACCATTCTACCCCATGTAAGGATGTAATACACCCAAGTCCTTACCTAACCTATTGTAGTAACTTGGAGTCGGTCATTTAGTGAACATTGCTTTATCTTTTAGATGTTTTTTCTTATTTTTGTGTAAATTGTAATTTTTTGATGTTTTAAAGTAGAAGTTGGTAAAATAATATTTTATTACAGAAGAGGAGCATAAATCAAATAGAAAATAGATGAAATAGGAGTCTAATGCAACCACAATTAGAAAGCACAAAACTTTACTTGATTTTTATATAACTTTCAAGTTAATAGCTTAACAATTCAATTTAGAGTCAAGTACCTGGGAAGCACCCAGATTAGGACATTTTCTATTTTTATGTTCATATTCAAAACATGTAAACTGATGGAAGACTTCTCAAATCCAGCAAAAATAAATATTTACATATCTGAGAAATGTCTTTCTTCTGTGTGTATGTGCCATACAATGAAAACAATGATTACAATGTGATTTCTGTTATTAAACCACTGCGGAATAATTGATTATCACCCTTGAGTTTCTATAAATTGATCAGAATCTTACGATGCCTTGAGATCATTACTACCCAGCTTCTGTGATTGCTATATGGGTTGCCTCTTTGATTTCTGGGAATATGGGAACTTCTGTCAAGTTGAGATGAGAGCCAGACGTAATTCTAATACTTTAAACTTCTTGAGTTAATTAGTATGTCCTAAATTTCATGTCCCAATGCCTGGCTTAGAAGTGTTTGTATAAAATATTACACATTTCAACTCCTTCTTTAATTATTCGTCCACTTTTAAGACAGGAGGATGTCATATAACGATATGAAAAGCGCCCTGTACTATCAGATCTGGAAGGAATACTGGAATATTACATTGAGGTCTCGTCTGTCTAGACAGACTTTCCTAAAGGGAAAAAATGAAACAGAGAGAGAGAGAGAGAGAGAGAGAGAGAGAGAGAGAGAGAGAGAGAGAGAGAGAGAGAGAGAGAGAGAGAGAGAGAGAGAGAGAGAGAGAGAGAGAGAGAGAGAGAGAGAGAATCTCACTGGAGAAATGCCCCTGAGTTAAGTGGGGGAATCTGGGACACTTGTCCTTGTCATGCATGTCCGCAGTGCTCCAACATGGGCAGCAGGGGGCGCTCCTGCATGAAGCAAGCCCCCCCCAAAAAAGTGATTCCCTGTTGAAGAACACAGGTTCTTCCTACATCCCTCTTTCTTAGTGCTTGTACAAAGAGGTACTGAGTGTGGCTGTCAATAAACTGTATGAGCTTGGTACATATGATGAATGACACTGCAGGTTCTATAAGAGAGTACACTTGCTATTAAGCTTGCCTTTTGGAAACATAGTGACCAGCTTTTCTTTTATCTCACTGGGATAGTAGAAGGGGTTAAAGGAGATGGAGAGCAGTGGAGGTGGGAATGCTGAATGGAGTTAAGTGTAAAGAGGCTTTTCTCCAAAGCAACAAGTGGGCATTAATATTCCAGGATCAATTATTTAGTCTCTTTGTAATAGTTTAGTTTGTAAGATAGACTCCGTGTCACATTCAAATCCTCCTTTTCCCATGACTGATCCCCAAATCCAGAACTGTCACTTAACAAACTGATGTGTCCAAGAATTTGCAAGAACCGTAGATTCTGCAGGGGGGCCTCTAGCATATTGCTGCCTTTTACAAATGAAAGTGAGATGTCTTTTATTCAGTCTGTATTGAGACACAGTGTTGAATCCAAATTGGGAAAAAGTGCAATAAACCAGAAGGAGTTGTTCTGTAACTAAATTTACCATGAATTCCAGGGCAAAATATCATGTCCCTGTCCCAATACTATACCACACCCCCAATGCTTGCAATATCCCATTCCCAAATTAAGGATTGCAGAGGCATAGCTATGAACATTAATACTCACCATATTGACTTCAGAAACCATATCAATGCTGGCAATATCAATGTTCATTCCTACAGCCACAGGAGGACCTGCAAATCAAGATGATCAGCCACGTGACTTCTCAGAACTTAGTCATTCACAACAAGAGTTGTCACTGGGAACCCTACTGAAAACTTCTCTAAAGTTAATCCTCATGTTCATCACTTCCCTACTTCTTGGCAAGAAGAGTGGGGAACTACTCCTCTAGGAATATGTACACATGTACTGATGGGACAGTGATTCCAGCTGTGTCTACAAATGTCAATGTCTTAGCCTGTGAATTCATACAACTGACAGCAGCAGAGAGAGCAATGTTTTAGCCCTGGGAATTTGTGTGTATTGCATTGAAACCTCCTCCTTCTCATTTTTACCCACACACTTCTGTGTGTAGGTTTTAACTCTTTAGTTCCATTAAGAGTTTAATGTGAAATTCAGTTTTCACACTAGCTTATTTAGGGCTACAGAAAGAGATGTCTGTTCCCTCTGCTATCTTTATTCTCCATCCCCCAGACCCCATTCACTCCTAAGCCATTCCCCTTAATAGGACTGGATGGTATCCAGACATGAGCCACTTTAAACCATGGCCAGAACTCTTCCAAAGTAGGTGGGCACAGGGAGTTGAGGCCACCTCTCAGCCAGCTGCCTGCACACCCTGTCCTCAAAAATACATTACAAGACAGCCCTGGGCACACCGTTAAGTAAACTTAAGAGGCTTGTATCTCAGGAAAGCTCAGACTGGAAACAAAGATTTATCATGGTGAAGGAGATGGAAAGCAGTTCCCAAGTCTGATTACACGCCAAGGGGGTCATTTTGAAAGACCTCTCCAGTGCTGGACAGTAACAAACTGACTTAAGTTTGGATCATTTCTCAGCATGGTAAAATAGGGAAATATTCCATACACCACATGCACCCACAACTAAGGAGAAGGAAGAGAGCGCACACAAAGCCCAAAAGACAGCTTTCGGCTAGAGCCGGGCTGTTTCTTATTTGCAAGGCAATCCCATTACCTCCAAAATCTGGTCTCAGGCGAATGTCATAGCCTTTCAACAGTCTGTCCACCGTCTCTTTAACCAGCGACATATTACTAGGGTCATTGACACTAAAGAAAAAAGTGACAAATAGACAGGAATGAATAAAGAAGCCAGAACGGCATCTTCAAGATGCCACAGAGAGGTATGCAGACAGAGCCCTGACAAGTGAGGAAAGAAAACACACTTACCTCTGAGCACAGACAGCGGCGATTATTAAGGGAAACGACCAAATCCCAAAGTAGCCCCTTTTCCGGACTCTCCACATCCCTTTAGTTTTTGATGGGATTGAGGGATTCACTGAAGAGAGGAGATCCAACTTAGTCTGCCCAGTGCAGTAATTCTAATGTGGAGCGCATGCGCACGGCGTACCAAAACATCAAAGGGGCAGCGGCGGCTGCCGGGGACAGAGATTTCCTTGTTTAAGAAAAATTAAAGGGGAAAAGGGAAGAAAAACGTATGTATGTGCAATATGTACATGTTTAAATAATATTAAACTGTCATCCCAGAAGTGCATGCACAGTTGAATCTTTGTTGTCTTATTTTCTTTAAGACAAAAGCAACGAGAGCGTCTGGTAAGTTTCTTTTGTTGCAAGAGGTAGTTTTGCACCTCACGGGTTTGTGTGTGTGTGTGTGTGTGTGTGTGTGTGTGTGTGTGTGTGTGTGTGTCCTTTATGAAAAATAAAGATTAGGAGATACGGCGTGTGAGGGTCAGGTTACAGGGGGAGATGGGTGCCTGAAATCCTACTCTTGGTCTAAGCAGGTTGAAGGGGACGAGGAGTTGAACTTTATTTCTGTAAGAATAGCAGTCCCTGCCTGGGACAAGTGGAGGCGGTGGGGGTGGGGTGGGAGCACTAAGAGTGGGGAGGGGAGCAGTGGGAACAGGAGTCCGAGGAGGAGAAAAGAAACCAATGGGAGGAGTGCTGAGCAAACGTTGGATTTTCAGCGAGGGGGGTGGGGAGTGGATTGAGAATATGAAAGATTCAGAAAGGGGGTGAGAAGAAACGAGAAGGATACAGGAATTCAAAGATGCTACTCTTTCCTGGGAACCAAGGGGCACGCTTTTGCTTCACTACTCACGAGCGATTTCTTTCTTTTCCTTCTGCTCACCCTTTGCCCCCTATTCCCCAAGAAGAAAACTCGGGGTCCTGGTTTCTGGCGTTGTGACGTCCCTGACCCGCTAGCCTGGTTATTTATAGCAGGAGGGGGAGGGGGCGAGGGGAGCAGTCAGGCAAAGGCTTCTCTGGGTTTGGGTCTGACTCTGCACCGGGAAATTCTAAGTGGGCAGGGTGAGGTTTGACTAAGAAACAAGGGAGGTGGGTGCGTGAGGGACAGAGGGTGACTGATGCTCCAGCGCAGGTGCGGGGCCAAGAGGCACCAAGCACCGAGGGCGGGTGGCAGGGTGGGATGCACTCCTCCAGTCCCCCACGCCTCGCGGATGCACACACACACACACACACACACACACACACACACACACACACACACACACACACACACACACACACACACACGCACATACACGCACGCACGATGATCAAGGTCCCAGCCACCCGCCACTCCTTACCTCACCCTCCCGAGCTCGCCGCCCACTACTGTGGCCCAATGGAGCTACACCCCTGCCGCTCCGCTCTGGCCAGCTGAAACTGCTCCAAACCCAGTGTTTCACAGAAGGCAGGCACAATGAAGGGGCCCTCTAGATCGCCTGAGACACCAAGTCACCTATCTCCACGCCACCACTTCCCCATCGCCTTCTTAGCCCCCTTTCCCTACTGCCCCAGGCACATCACTACCGACACCAGACTGAGACTCAGTTCATAGAAAAAATCATTTCCTTTGCCCAGGGCGCGCGGGGGGGTGGTGGCGGAACATCGGGACTGGGGTGTCCCGGAGTCGTGTTCTTTGGCTTATTTTGGAGAGGTGCTGGGGGTGGGGGTGGGGGAAGAAACAGGGAAGGTGCTCCAACTACCCAAAGCACTCCTTGGTGAATAAGTGGAAAGGCGGAGCTCAACCCTGGGTCCTGGACCCCAATACTAAGCTGTATCTACTATTGAGCTTTATTATCATTTACCGAGAGCACCTACTATGCGCAGAAAGCCATGCTTAATGCAATATTAGTTCGAAGTTGACACTTAAATGTTCCCGTTTTAAGGGTTTAGAAATTGGCACATAGAATCTGAGGAACATGTCCAAGGTCATTCAGGTGAAAAGTGAAAAGCAAATTGCGCTTTTAAAACAGTGTTTCTAACCCTTAGACTAGACTGTCTTAACTCTAAGCCCACTGCTAGCTCCTTCCTGCCACGCGGGGGACCTCCAAGCACCCGTGGCGCTTGGGAGACAGAAAGCACACAGATCACATAGGGCTGGTGGTCCAGCAGGTCTCTGCTGAGAGCAGGAACCCAGTGCCCACAGGGTCCAAAGCTGATATGGTGTTGCAGGTTCCGAGGTGAAGCCAAGTCCAGCTTCCCCCCTGACCCATATAACTTCCTTCCCTTCCCCCGCCCCACCGCCCCGGGACAATGAGAGTCATCCTGGGGCAGCTTAGAGAGGTGACTCCAAGGGAACCATGGACGAGGGATGTTGCCAGCAGGAGTCTGATAGCTTCCCTAGGATGGAGCACAAACCAGAGGGAAAGAGCTGTTTGCTCTCATGATCCGAGGAAGTTTCTAGGTTACAGACAGGTAAAGAATAGCGCCATAATCACAGTGCAGATGTACTGCGTGGCGACCTGCTAGTCTGGAGACTTACAGGAACTTATACAAAGAACACACACACACACACACACACACACACACACACACACACACACACACACACACACACCACCACCACCACCACCACCACCACCACCACCACCACCAGCAGCGGTGGGGCAGGAGAAAGATTGCAGAGTTTTCTTCCTTATATTTGCTCTTACAGAAAACTATTATTCAAGCTAAATATAATGAAGATAGAAAAATATGTTTCTGTAACTAAAAAACTAAAATAATCTCAAAGTAGTTAGCAGACAATGTAACCTAATGATGAAATCCTAGAAAGCTCCCTTCCTTCTTAAAAAAAAAAAAACTCAAAACCCAGCCTTCCTTCTATTAGTTATCCCTTTTGCCTGTCCATCACCTTCAGGAAGATTATCTTTGATTTGGGTTGAAAGAAATCAGTTCAAAAAACAGAATAAGTCCCAAGCTACCCTCACATCTACCTGAAATAATAGCAGTGGCCCACTGAGTGATTAGACAAGGACATATTGAAGATCTATTATTGATGGACCTTTTCAGACACCTAGAAACAACTTTGCAAGACACCAATGTCTCTAAACTATGGTCTCCTTCATTAACCTAATCTAGATAAATATTAACACTGATTTTTTCTAGATTAACACTAGATTAATGTTGAATGATGAAAACATTTGAGTAGCTGTTTGTCATGTGACTAGTACATATTAGCAATCTTTAATGTGTGGGAAATAAAGCAAACAATATTGAATGTCATTCATCTTTAAAGATGTAAAGAACACAAATTGGATGCAATTATTGTAAATTTTCCTGAAGAGAATAAAGGAGCAGCCATTTGAAGAAACTCAAAAGAGGGTTGTAAAAATTATAAAAGATAAGAAAATAAAATGTCAAAAGATTACAGGAAACTATTGTTGTCCTCTATGTGGTAGCTGTGATTTATATCTCTTATCTCTGATTACAAGGAATAATAATAAAAATACATTATTCTCCTCATAAGGTATGAGACAGGCATGCCTAAAATAAATCTCACTGTAGTCCCAACACTCTGGAAGATTTGCTGGTATAGCCACCTAGGAAAATACAAAACTGGAAAAAAAATCACATACAATCTGAAATTTGATGGAGATATGGAAAATATGATCCAAGATCTAAAATGTAAAGTCATTGGGCAAAATGTCAGCACTCATAAGAGAACAATGTTTCATAGTCATCTTTGAGTATCTACCATATAAACAAAAAGCGACAACAGGCATCAATTTTCTATCACTGTTCTTTTATATAATACTCACTCATTATCATAGACAAATGCTGTTTGACAAATGTTGACAATGATGATTTGAAAACAGATGTGGTTCTCATCCTCCTGGCATTTATATTGTAATAGGGCAAATGGCTATCATAGAGCTAATTGAAGATTGAGCATGTGACAAGGGAAATAGTTTACATTATTTTGGGAGATTACTCAATCTGAGGGTGTAGGTAAAGCTTGTAACTGGGTAAGTGATTCATTGCATGAAATTTGAAATGTAAGCTATCTTTGGGCTGCAATGAGACTGAAAGTCTTGGTTAACTCCCATAGCACCTGGACATGCTATGTAGTCTGTGCTATGGGAAATAAGGCACTGGTAGTATCCACCAGCTGTGAACCCCTGTGTGCTATAGTGCCAATTTATCACGCAAGAGGTGCTCACTTGTACAATAGTTGTACAACTGTTACAGAGTAACCAAAAGCCTTTAAATTGGATTTGAGGCCCACTCCACAGCAAGGAATGCATGCCTGGTGTTCTAAACTTAGTTAAAAACCCTATTTGTTGGGGTACAATTGACTTTGAGGTACCTCATTACTTTTGTTTGCCAGGATTGATATAGCAGTGTAAATGTTTATGTTTGGACCCATAGACAAATGCACCACTCTCGCTCTAAATTAAAGGAACTGTTTTTTTGCAGTGAATGTTGGTGAACTCAGAGCCAGGGGTGCACAAGGTTGTTAGACTAAGTGATGGATGAGTGCTCAGATTTATTTCTTTAATTTTTATGTAACTTACATTTTTCATTTATTTTACCTGGCAAGCAGTTTCTCCTCCCTGCTCTCCTCCTGTTCGCTCCCCTTTCCCATCTACACTCTCCCTACCCACCCCTCTCATTATCCATTCAGAAAGGGGCAGGCCTCCATGGGTTTGCACAAAGCCTGGCACATCAAGTTGAGGCAGGTCCGAACTCCTCCCCTTATGTCAAGCCAAAGTGAGGTAACTCAGTTACTAAAAGCTCAGTGCTCAGTTTTTACCACAACTTTTAACATGTAAAGAAGAGGCAAGTAAAGCACTGTAAGATCCAGAAGGTGTGGAGACAGCAAATGATATCATCGGGTTATGACACAGCCAACACAATAACGATCTCACAACAGTTTCAGCTGCACTGAGCTAGAACAAGACTGGACATGCCAAGAGGCAACCTTGAATCTACTAGGGACTTGTGGGACACTACCCTATTCTGCTAAACTACAGACAAGTGATAGAATCTGGAGCAGATAAAGTCATCTTCAGTGTGTACCAAAAAGTGAGCCTACCAGTGGATAATGCCAAACCTGTAGCCACACAGATGGTACTGGTTAAAACCAGTAGGTCACCAAATGAAACAGAAAGACATATGATATGAGGGGAGAGGACCTGTAAAGGAGAGGAGAATGACAAAAGGAAGAAAGATAAAAATGGGGAGTGAGAGTAAATAGAATGTAGTACATAGGAGGGAAATAGTTGAAGGGCAAATATAGGTAATAATAAGAAAGATAAGCTATCCTGGCATAGAGTTGATGAAGGAAAAATACTAATAGAGGGTGAGAGCAAGAGTATCCACTGAAGGGACAATGGGAAAATTTGGAAAATGGGTATGTTTGGAAGCAAAAGTGTGGCTGATGAATCTTAATCACACTGGAGAATGACAGGTAAGGCTGTAAGGGATCTGTCAGAAGCAAGGAGAGAATACAGATGAGAGATGATGTTGCTCTGAATGAAAATAGTGGTGAGAAAAACAAGCACATGCCACCACCATCTTGTAGACAAACTGGCTAACATTCTGACAGGTTGGATCTGGAGAATGGAAGTTGAAAAAGGTGGGGTGACTCCTACATGTCTGGTTTGAGCCACAGTGGTAGTGATAGGCAAGAAATCCTGGTTATTATTCATTTAGTTTGACCATGTTCAGTATGTGCTATAAATAGAGATAACCCCAGATATTTGGTTCTCTGCAACCCTCGTGTTTAGAATTGAGTGGTTGAGGGCTAGGCTGAGGGCAGAGTACCACCTACCTCATGACACTGTATTCTTTATTCTCTTGCTTTATTTTTAATTTTAGAATGCGTTATCATGTAACCATAACCATATCTTACTGATTTCACTGTCATGTTCCTGAACCAGAATAAGGGATTTTAAAATGTAACGACTCCCACCCCTTTGTTGGTGTTCTATTCTGGAAGCAACCAATCCCCCTCCAAGACACCAAAGACAACATGACTGCAAAATCATTGACACATGAACCTAATCCATGAAGAAAGACCAGAGCAGGAAAACTGGATGTTCAAGAAGTCAGTCTTTCTGACCTGTTACTGGGAAAGCATCCTGATGATTTAGGAGGAAAGTCTCATGGTAGTGTGTTACTTGTTTTGCTGAACCATTGAAACGTTCGAACTCATGTTATTAAAATGAATAATGACTCTCAACATTAAATACTGATCAGTCTTTTTTAAAGTGTCCAGAATATTAACCATATTCAAGAGTAACAAGACAGTCTCCAATGATATGTAGACTTATAGTGTGAAATATGTATTCATACACATTTATATAAACACACATATTATATTAGTTCAGGGTATGCCACAGCAGCACAAACTTGCACCTATTAATAAAGTGTTGACAGGTATATCACTGCATGAACAACTGACATGTGAAAACAAGAACTGATAAAAAGAAAAAAAAACAGAGCTCACTAACAAAAAAGTCAGAAGACACTGTGGAATTACGAAGACTTGAGTTCAAATCCCCAGAGCCCATGTAGAACCGGGTACAGTAGAGTGTGTCTGCAATCCC